AATCATGACAATCTTTGGTGAGACACAATCATGGCAATCTTTGGTGAGAAGCAATCATGACAATCTTTGGTGAGAGACAATCATGACAATCTTTGGTGAGACAAAAACATGGCAATCTTTGGTGAGAGACAATCATGGCAATCTTTGGTGAGACGGAATTTAAAAACAAAAGATTGCCTCTCACCAAAGATTGTCATGATTGTGTCTCAGTCTCACCAATGATTGCCATGATTGAGTCTCACCAAAGATTGTTATGATTGCATCTCACCAAAGATTGTCATGATTGTGTCTCACCAAAAATTGCCATCATTGTGTCTCACCAAAGATTGTCATGATTGTCTCTCAACAAAGATTGCCATGTTTTTGTCTCACCAAAGATACAAAAAATAGAACAGCAAAAAGAAAACATGTCAAGACAACATAATGATTATGCAAAATGATCTTACTAAACTTTGCGCAATCACGATTTTAGCACATGTCACTGAAAGTTTTATCAAACACCTATGGCTACATCAATCTGTCTGATTTTTGGGGGAGAGATGGAGAAAAACATAGGGAACAAATCCTGACCTTCCAAAATTTTTTAACTCTATTACTTTTCGAGTAAAGCCTTTCAAATTTGAGTATCGTTTTCTTGTGGGACACCCTGTATAAGCATCTAAATGAAGACTAAAATCTACGTAAAAATCTTGCTAGGTATCTCCAGAAGATCTTACAAACACATTTCCTAAGTCTTGATAAATATTTATCATCCTGAATTTATTGCAGGAAATCTTGAAGGTTTAGGCAGTTCTGGCAATAAATTTTGTCTAGAAATTCTAATTTTTTTCCTCTTTGTATTTCAAAATTTTTATAGAAATAATCTTGGCTCTAATATGCAATATCATATACAGAATTTCAGTAGACAGTAGGTAGGTAACTAGGTATGAAATTTCATGGCTCTAATGTCATGTATTTTTGTTTTATTGAAAAAATTGCGGTTTGCAGTTGCACTTTGCATTGCAAATATGTTCAAAGAAACAAAAGAACAAACAAAAAGTAATGAAATAACAAACAGTATAGCCTAAAATGTCATAATTTTCTAATCATTTTTATACCTGTCAAAGGAACCTGTTAGTTTTCCATTTTCATATGATTGGGTTTGGGTTAGTCGGACTTAGTCCTTCAACCAAGAGACTCATGGTGGGTGCAATACAGAATGGAGAGGGTGAATAGTTGAGCACCATATTAAGCAAATGAAAGTTGCTCTCCATTCCTCCAAGAACTATAATTTAAATCTTTTCTCGCTGCTAAGTCAATGATAATGCTATAAATGCACATGGATTTCTTTCAATTCAGCTGGTCCTCAATTAGCTATAAATCTCAATGACAACTCCTACTACAAGATATCAGGGTAATTTTCAAATTTTCTCCAAAAATATGCAATAAATTTTGTTTGAAGATCCAATGTAAAATGTTTGCATCAGTTTGAAGCATTACCCTAATAGCAGTTTATTGTGCAGCTGAGGGTACCATATCAGTATTTTAATTCTTCATGTTGCAAGCTTTGACTTCTTGAGCTACCTGTAGATTGTGAAAATATCAGCCTAATTGTTTTCTACCATGTTTTTATAGGAAAAGTAACAAGTCGGTAAAACATTGAAAATTAGGAAAAAATGTTTCATTATAACATACATTTAAGAACCACCCTATTGGATAGTCAAAAATATTTATAAGTTTTACATCTGAATGATCAAAGCTTTCTTATATTATTTTTCTCATTTTTCCTCAGTCAAAGCAACAATGCCCCTCTTCACTGTCCTCCTCTGTAGAATATTTTTAAAGGAACGTCAAACATTAAGAGTGAGTTGATTTATGATATAATTTAATTTTAATTTGTCTTCTTTTTTTTTGTCATTTAGTGTAAGCCTCTGGACATCAATTACTATTTTTGAATACCAAGTTTAATTCCATGCTGTAGTGGATGACAGAGATTTTTTATGTCTTTTCCTTTGCTGAGTTACTTGGGCTTTCTTTTATTTCATGTGTGTGAAAATGATGGTATATACGGTATGTAGTGTCATGACATCACTGTTGATTAATAGGAAGTAGTATTTTTGACATTTCATGATGTTCTGGGATGCATTTTTTATTTGTCTTTTGATTGTCTAGGATTTGTTTATTTTCTGAGGAAGACAATTATGGCTTCTTATGTTAGTGGATTTTTAACTCCATATTCAAGCACATTTTCCTCTCATTATTAATCTCACAGTTTATAATAATTTTATTTATAAATTTTTTAAATTCAGTAAGTATAAATTACATAATTTTCATACCAATAATTATTTTCATACTGGCAATAATTTCCAGGTCTATGCATCTCTGGTGCCAATCATCCTGGGAGTGGCAATAGCAAGCATATCTGAGCTCTCATTTGATGCTCTGGGCCTAATATGTGCACTCATGGCCACATGTGCCTTCTCTCTGCAAAATATATTCTCAAAGAAGGTAAGATTACTGGCATTCAGCTTGGCTTTTTCTCCTGTTCCTGATATCTTAGCAATCTAATTGATTTCAAATACAATTACTGTATTATAATTAGCAATCTAATTGATTTCAAAGACAATTACTGTATTATAATTTTAGTACCTAACATTATGAGAAATACTGGACTGGTGCTTTATCTATAATTGATTTGATGTAGGTAATTGATTTCAATGACAATGACAGTATGACAGTATTATTATTTTAGTACCCAATATTATTATAAATACTGAAGTACTTTACCTAAAATTGATTACGCTCAAAATTATTTTGACATTTTGGGTTACTACTTCTCTTTCTTTCCAGGTTCTGGCTGACACAGGCTTGCATCCCCTGCGTTTGGTCTTCTTGCTGGGGCGTCTCTCACTCATAATGTTCTTACCATTTTGGCTCATATTTGATGGCTATGCTATGTTGCATGACTCACAATTGGTCAGTTAATTTGATACTATTTTTTGGCAAACAACAAGGCAAATCATCTCTAATAATATTTCTAGAAACATTTAGTACATATATACTGGGTATCAGTTCAAATTTAGTGGAAGAATTGTCATTCATCAATTTGTAAGTTTTGACCTGACTTTACTATTGACTAGGTATATCCTAGGTATTTACTCTTTGAAGTTGTTATTAGCATCATCTATATTATATATAATATATACTATTACCATACAGGTTGTTCGGCGGTCTGGATTTGACACGCTAGTACTGCTAGGAGCAGATGGTGTGCTCAACTGGTTACAGAACCTGATTGCATTCAGTATACTGCACCGCGTCGCCCCTCTCACATACGCTGTTGCCAACGTCAGCAAGAGAGTTGCTATCATATCTGTGTCACTGTTGGTGCTCAACAACCCAGTCACACCTTTCAATGTTCTTGGCATGATGCTTGCTATTCTTGGAGTTCTTGCCTACAATAAGGTGAGAAACAGAAAAAAAAATTTCTGGCCACTCGGCAACACAATGAGTTCAACCTAACTAAATAAAATGCTATATTTTGTTATTGATTGATTTATTATATTTATGCTATATTTATTATTGATGCAAACTAACATTATTTATTGTATTTTCAAACTTGCCCTGTAGGCCTGAATACTTTCTTTCATCATCTAGTTTTACCCCGATCCAAGGGTGGAAAAATATCTACATATGTTAAAATACTTCTTGGTCCCCTGATCCCTGCTAAGTGAAATATTTGCATATTTTTATTGAAATATTTATGTAAAAGTAAGTAAGTAGCATGCAATGCTTAGTGTTATTTGTATTCTCCAATAGCTATATTTAGCTGTTATAGTATTTTTTCTAACAATTATTGTTGCAAATTATTGGGATTGGTTGGGACCTATTATATATATTAACTTGAATTAACAGGCAAAATATGATGCAAACCGGGCAAAGAAAGTCTTGCTGCCAATCTCGTCTTCCTTCTCCAATGGCATGGTTGCCCCCGTGCTTCACCAGGTTCATCCAGCATACCCTTATGACTACTCCAGGTCTGCTAATTTAGTTGTTCAGAAGGTAGCAATGAATTTGTTACTGTGATTAGTTTCCTTTGTTGTTTCTTTTACGAAATGATTCTGCATTCCTCACCATTCCTCCACGTCTGTGCTTTGAATTATGTATGAAAATTGTGTTGATGAGATTAGTTTATTTTCTCTTACATGGGGCTTGGACAAGTTCTTATTTTAAAAATTTCAAGTCAATTACTAAATTTTGTCTATATGGTAATATTTTTACTTTTTTAATGTAATATTTTTTATATGAATTGGAAATTGCAGCAAGTTTATTTCTTAATTTTTGTGAATAAGGTTATCCATTAGTTTTAATTCCTCTTTGTATGTATTTACAGCTTACTCACTGTTTGATTTATAAATTACTTGGTAGTAAATTTGAGTATAAAATTTTCGTAGAGTAACGCGCAAATAGAAAAAAATTTAGACAATTTTTTCAATTGAGCTTGATTTTTCTCTTTGAATGCTTAAGCTCTCCTGACACAAATTTTGGCGTGAATATACAAGTATGTTTTTTGCAGATTAAAAGACAATTCACTGCGTTGGCCATCTGAGGGCACCACTAGGCATCCAACCAACACCTCCAGCCATCTCACGACAGCAGTGTCTCTCCCACACACTCCTTACATCGCACCCAGGTATGCCTTTGATCTTCAGCAGTCGCCCTACCTCTCCCGGGGAGATCCCAGATACAACCACAGTGACGGCGACGCTCGACCTGACACCTCAAGTTTCAACTGGAGCTCTCGACATGCCGGCGAGGTCGACAACACAGCGAACCGGACCGATAGCAGTAAATTCGTCCAGCTCGGCAACAACTCAGTGAAGACGACCGCTGAGCTCGTCTCACAGCAGACCGCCATGCGGGACTTCGCCTTACCGAACGGGAGGGCAGGTTCACAGCACGGTAACACGTCACAGTGGGAGACTTGATGTCAACTTGTGCCCCAATATGCTGTGGTCTTTTCATGCGAACAATTTATCGGTGCAATTGTTACTAGTTTGTGCATGTTAAGAACTTCATTTCTCGTTTGAGCTTTAATAGATTGGAATTTAGTTATATGAAAGCAATTAGAGAGTTCAACAGTTATGAATTTTCAGAGAAACATTTTTTTTAGATGTTAAGTATAATTGAAATACAGAATTCAAGCATTGGAATGGGTGTTGGACGAGCTAACTCCTTTATAAGTAAAAATTATGGTGTAGGATTTTAGTGTGAACTGAGCCGCTTGAACGAAATATTTTATGTTAATAATCTCATTCTCAGGATTCGTTAGAGGTCCTTAAAAAGTTGTAGTCCTTCTTAAATTGATGAAATGAGATGCAGATTTCGATTGTGATGTTACTCACTCAAACAGATAAAGAGACAAATAGTTCTGGTTATTTTCTTTTCAAAGCTCTATTCAAATTCATTATTTCTGAACCTTGTTATCATTTTAGCTAATAATTTCGCTGTGATTCAAGCGATTTCTCTTAGTGTTAATTTGTATTGATACCACAGTGGAAATGCGTCTTTTCTAACACCGTGACTGTGTTCTTCCAGAGGTAGCTGTGACGTCCTGTAGTGTGGCGATTGTCCCTTGTGAAATCCTGTCTAGCCAACTTTATGCAGCTCTTTTAAAAGCTTCTGGGATAATTTGTTTCGGTTTATGCATTTAAATCCTTTGAAATTAGCTAAAAATTTTTATTCCTTATTGCTTGCGCTACAGTGAATTATTGTGCTACAAATTTTCAATTATTAATAATTGTAGTTGCTTTAATTAGTTGTAATTGTTATGTTTCTCAAATACATTTACCTCTGCTGGTATTATCTCTCAAATATTCTATTTGCACTCAACGCCCGTTCATGACACTAAGATAACTAGTATATTTATACTGGGTTAGTTTATACTGGGGTTTATATACTATAAACTTCTATATTTATACTGGGTTAGTGACTTCAATCAATTCTGGTGATATTTTTAATTTCAGAGAAAATCTTGTGTGTTCGGTTCAACATAAGTTTTCATATGTGAGTAGTACTAAAATTTATAGCTGTTGAATTAGCTGTCAATATTAAATCTGTATTAACCTCGTCGCAGTGTGTACTTTTAAGCAAGAATTACTGCACTTGCAGACTTCGTTTTAAAACGTATTACATTTTTAAAATGCATTGAACTTCCTACTTGCATTTAACCTGTTGTTATTATTTATATTTTCCGACTTTTTATTCTATAATATTTTTCGACTTTAGGTCTTCCAAGTTCCAGGTATTTATATATAAAGCTTAAGCTATCTTTGTGCCTACAAGACCGTTGCTTGACTCCTAGCTGAAAATATTATGAATTCTTTCGGAGAATCGTTAATGTAGCTTTAATATTTTTTTTTACCTTTCACCTCACATTTATAGGGTAACATAGTCTTTCTGTACACGACAAAGCTTGCTGTTGATCATTGACATTGAACCTATTATAATAAAATGGTTATGATATTATTTCCTCTGGTTAAGGAATGCCAACCAACACGGTCGTGTTCAAAATTTTGCTTGGCGAGTTCTGTGCCAAGCAAAGTTCTTCCCGAGTTCTATGGAACTAATAATTTATTAGAGGTGATTTCTTCCATCAACCCTAGGGGCTAATTATCTACAAGGGATCAATTTAAGATGTGAACAATTTTATAAATGTTTTTAAATAGAATTAATGTGAGCGTTGCTGGAATTAATGTGTGCATTTCTATTCAAATTTCGTTACTGTAGCTAGAGAAACAATTGGCGAGAGTGAAGAGTTGTTGCGATTATTAGTATATTATTTCTGCTGAACGGTCTCCAAAACCCTCGATTGCAGCACTGAAAATAATTAATCATCTTGATTCGAATGATGTGCATTATTTATTTTCATATTTTTAATTATGCAATCCTTCGTGACTTAGTTGCTACGTTCAGATCTATGTTTTCCCGCGTTGTTTATAAGTTCAAGCCAATTCTAGCGAGCAATACTTCCGTCCTATGTCCTCTCTTATTAATTTAGCTCAGTTCAGGCATTCGAGCTTTCGGCCCTTGGCATGTGGTTGCACTGCTACTATCTGTTGATTATATTATATTTACTAGGTGTGCTACTATTATATTTATTAAGTAAGCTATTAGTATATTTATTAAGTGAGCTATAAATTATGACTGCAGCTTCAAAAATGTTCGTTCTTCTCAGTTTGCAGATGCATTAATATCTTGTTGAGGTGTGCCTTGTTAATTTTTTATTTAATTTATTTATATATTGAATATGGTATAGGTTTAGTTACTTTTAAGTGTGTATGTTATAAGGTGTAGCGCCATACGTAGGTCTTGCGCTTCCAAGCTGCAATCCGAACCGAGAAGCTTAAGAATCTCAACTCAGGTTGAAATGTCTTCATTCATATGTATTGGTTTATGGAAAAATTGTCTATTTTACATTATTTTACGGGCAGGGTGGCCCAGTGGTTAAAGTTCAGAGTACCAAGATAGGAGCAGAGAGGCGCGGGTTCGATCCCAGCTCTGTGCGCCAGTTTCTGGTCAGAATCGGCAAGGAGGTCGGGCGGTTAAGCACAGCAGAATTGTAGCAGTGAGTTGTGTGTTCGAAACCACATCAAGCTGTGAACGTTCTGCAATGTTAAGAATCGGCGACAGGCCTACGGCCTAATAAACGCTGAAACCGCTATAGCCTCTGATGTCTGATTCTGTGTTAGGAATAATTGACACGTCAGGAATTGTCATGGACGTCAGGTGGCAGTTTTATTAATTTATGAAACAACCGTCAATTATTGTTATTTATTAAGAATTTTTCTCTTTTATTTTGATTTGTCTCTAATGATTTCTTATCACCTAAAACTCGAATTTCATCAAAAATTAATATAATGGATTATATTCATTTATCATGGTCCAATTTTATGCTAATTTCCAAGTTCCGTCAGCGAGTATCAAATTGTTCACTCGAGAGAAATAGTTTTTCAGACAATTTTGAAAATGTTTTCTTGCCCTATCCACGATCGGGTCATTCTTAGTATCTTGTACTTATAAAATTTCAAGATTGTTCCGTTCTGAGTCGGTAGGCTGATACAATCTTCAAATATTACACTTAAATATTCTGTGTAATATGCAATGATATGTGTACTGGTGTAAGAGCATAAGAAAGGACCAAGAAACCAAGAAGTGCGTCGCTATTTAGACAAAGTCATCCAATTTCTTTGAGTGGTAGGATAATTTCGTCCCTTGAAGGTGATGATTAATTTAAAACTTTGAATTATTGAGGCCTTCTGCCTTGCTGTCGATGTTATATTTTGACCTCTGGTGCGAAATAGCTTGATAGCTGAAGCGCTAGCAAACCATCCTATTACTGCTGCTGCTTCTATTAGTGCAGGGGCCATACTTTCAAAACTCGCTAAGTGAACGTAAGTACTTACGCTCTATTTTCTTGTCTATGATTGGTGGATTTTTCTTGGAAGACCGTCAATGATTGGCTGATGAACTTACGATCTCGTAAATTTTTTTTAAAGTATAGCCCCAGGTAATAACTCTCAGGGGGATGCTGGTCACGACACCAACCCGAGACATGAATTACGGCTGGCATCACTTGTACTTCTGGCAATTGAAAAATGTCTACAAATGAATGCGTTATGAATCGTCGTTTATTAAAGACAACAATGATGTTAAGCAACGTTTCGGTTTAATTCATAAAGTCAGTTGAAACTTTTTTGTCTATTGTTGTTAAATTCAGCACTTTCGTTTGTTATATTTGTTCAAAAAGGCTTTGAGAACCTCATCTCCAAGCTTCAAATTTTATTGCTTCCAACGAAGTTCGAAATGCCAGCCGTAATTTTTTGTGTTCTTGGAGGATTAGTGTGGTAACCTGGATTCGGTTTTACCTTCTTTAGGTTGAGCAGTAGTCCAGTTTTGGGCAAAATTTTTTGAATGTTTATTTTGCATTACAGTTTTGATTATTTCTCTTAGCTGCTACACTTTCAAGCTGCCGCGAATTCATATTTTGCTTACATGGTGCCCATGCCGATAGTGCCTGGAATGTTGTCCTAACTTTCAAGTAGAAACAGTGTTCAGTATCAAGTACAAACTTTTTTCACTACTTCGTCAAGTATCAACTGTGTTAAAGATAATACCTGGTATGTTGTCCTAACTTTCAAGTACAAACTGTGTTCACTTCAAGTACAGACTGTTTTCACTACTTGTTCGTCAAGTATCAACTGTGTTAAAGATAATACCTTCTTCCTAACTTTCCTATGTTGTCCTAACTTTCAAGTACAAACTGTTTTCACTACTTCTTCGTCGAGTATCAACTGTGTTAGAGACAATACCTGGTATGTTGTCCTAACTTTCAAGTACAAACTGTGTTCACTACTTCTTCGTACAGTATTAACTGTGTTCACTACTTCTTCGTACAGTATTAACTGTGTTCACAATACTTTTAAGTATCAACAGTGCTCAATAGGTTTTTGAGAAGTCATGGCAGATGAGAGCGGTGATACCTGCCTCATCACCTTGCTGTGTGGCGAGCTGAAGTTTGAACTTGAGCGCCAGCTGCTCATCAAGAAGTCTGGTTACTTCAAAGCTCTTCTCGAGGGTTCGTTTGCTGACAGTCGCAAGTCCGTACACACCCTTGACCCGACGGTGAGTTGACGTACGAATCATCTAAGGTACCGTACGTTTTATCTTCGCCGATTTTTAGGAGATTGTAGACGGTTAGAAAATGATTTGCACCGATGTTTATGAGATTGTAGACGGGTAGAAAAAGATTTGCATCGATGATTATGAGATTATAGACGGTTAGAAAATGATTTGCACCGATGTTCATGAGATTATTGGCGGTTAGAAAATTATTTGTAGCGATGTTTATGAGATTATAGACGGGTAGAAAATTATTTGTACCGATGTTTATGAGATTGTAGACGGTTAGAAAATGATTTGCACCGATGTTTATGAGATTGTAGACGGTTAGAAAATGATTTGTACCGACGACTATCAGATTACTGACGGTTAATGCTAGTCTTGAAGTTCAGTTTTGAATTGCGGATGCACATGGTCAACAGATATGCTATTGAATGATAAATTCTGGAATAAATCTTCTTATTTTCCGGCTCTCACATCAGTCTAATTATTAACTTTAAATCACGTGTTAATTTATAAATATCACGTTGAATAATTTTGCGCTGCTTTTCATAAAACTTATTACATTGTCACTAGTCTTGTAGTCACCGCTAATGTATGTTACGACTTATTAACAGTTTTAACACCAAGTATGTATTGTTTAAAATGAAGGTTTATAATGACCTGCTCTGTATCACGCAGTTTGTGGAGCCTGTGTGTCTGAAGTTCGTCGTGGAGAATATGCAGCAGGAACACTCAGACGATGCCTTCAAAGATTTATCTCTGGACTTCCTTACAAATTGCGCACTTGTGTGTGAAGCTCTACATGTGAGTGATCCTGGGAATCCAATTTTTAATGATTAAACTGCTATGTATCTATACAAAGTTGAAATGAAAAACTCAGTGTATCTGAAAGTTGAAATTAAAAACTCAAATTATTTATTTTTGCAGGTGGAGTGTGTTTTGGAAATTATTATGGATAGAATTCTTGAAAAGCTCGATGATGACGATCACTTTATTAATTATGCGAAGATTCTTTACAACCTGGGATTTGGGAGCCCCAAAGTGATAAAGTATCTAAGCAGTTCAATTCAGTGGAAGTTTTTCGAGCTTGTATGGTCGCCTCGCATCTTGTTTAAGCTCACTGAAGCCGAGTTGTACTGGATTTTACGTAATCCTAACATTGTTGACCCCACTGGAGGAGTTCTTTCCTTGTTGCTCATTGATACTTACGTCAGAAATCAGGATAACTGTATGAGTCATCCAAAGACTGCAGACGTTATAGAAAATTCTAACAGTGAGGCGGTGGAAATTTCTCTGACGGATGCCAGTCTAGAAATGCTTCCAGCTTGCCAAGAAGAAGGCAATATGACACGCGAAGAAACTTTAAATTCTGCAATGACTGATGATGAAGGAGGTGTAGGTTGTACATTCAAATTCGGAAAGGAAGAAAAGCGGAAAAGTGCCAAACTCGAAGAAACGAAAGATTATTTCGAAGAAAGGACAGCAAAACTAAATGATGAAAACAATGTCAACTTCGCTAATACATCACTTGGCGCTGCAGCGGAAACTCTTGGAAAGGGAAACAGCTCCGGAACAACAAACGGCAACAGTGCACTTGAGGTTTCAAGCCGTGTACGCCATCTGACGGCTCGACTAGTCTACGCTCTTCGGGAGTCCATGGACGCGCAACTAGGGACGGACTTGCCGGAGCACTACACGTTTAGAAATATAGACTCGACAGAGTATAGTATTTCCCCATTGCACGGTGATACAGATACGGCAGGAGATCGGAGCAACCGAAATAATGATGATGATGAAAGTTGTTTGACCTATAAACAAAAAGAAGTAAGAGCGATGTCCAGTTTGCCTACAGAGCAGAAAGTTTCTCTTTCTCTATCGTGGGAAGACGTCGAAATCATAAAAGATTATCGAAATGACAAGAACTTCTTTAGGAGCTTGTATTCAATGCAAAGAAGAAACCCTTGGCTGCCTTGTTTTCTCGCCATGTGGGTAAGACGACTATCTAACTCTCTACATATTGTATTTAAATTAAACTATTTGTATATACGTCTAATTTATTAGCAGCTTGCTTCAAAGATGTGAACCAGTTACTAGATTTGCGCGTTTTTTAAATATGCTCGTCTAAATTTGCTCGTCTGTTACAGAAACCTAGTTGGCACATTTCCAGACCAGGTTGGTGGCGACAAAAGTTCACTTTTCAAACGAACGGTTACGGCAGTTTCTCTTACAGAGAAACAACAAACTCTCAGGTAGGGGCTCCGGTCTTCTATGAAGAATATCTAAGGGAGCTATGTGCATTCCAAAACACTAGTGATAAATTCATACTGTCCTTCGACGAGGAAACCAAAAGCTTTGTGGAGGAACTCCACGTCTCCGGCAATAAAGGCTACAAAATTTGTTCCTATGGTGAGCCTTTCACATCGTTTGAATGAAGTCTTATTACTTTGGACTATCTGCCTTGTGTTGTACTATATTTGTATTTTTCTACTGTAAGCAAAGTTTTTGGTAGACTTTCTCTAATCGATATAAGAGTAATTTTTTTCAGCCGTTACTTCAATTGGGGTGATTAATTTAATATTAATATTTTTATGCAGCTGGAACGGGACAGACAATAAAGTCTCCTATGAATATTATGCTGAGATATAATGTCGGTTCAATTGCGAGATAACTTTTTTTAATATAAATACTTTACTTTTGAACAAGATAATACCGTCATTTCATTCAAATTTCATTTATATCAACACTAAGAACTCTTCCCTCAAGGTGAAGACTTGCTGGTTATCGCTGGTGAATGTGATTATATTGGAAGCAACAGGTTTCCGACCTCCGTCTCCTGCTTCAACTTCCACTCAATGAAATGGAAGGAACTTAAATCGTGAGTAATTGTGTTCATGCATTTGCCTGATGACTGTGTCGCAACATTTGCCTGGTGACTGTGTTGTGACATTTGCCTGATGACTGTGTCGCAACATTTGCCTGATGACTGTGTTGCGTCATTTGCCTGATGACTGTGTTGCGACATTTGCCTGATGACTGTGTTGTGACATTTGCCTGATGACTGTGTTGTGACATTTGCCTGTTCACCTGTCTGTAAATCTTGTTGCAAGTACATAGTTACGAATGAAACTAGAGGTTTGTCCGCGGACACTGGGTTAAAAATAACTTTGTATTCATATTCTGCAGGAAAAAATTATGTCATCGTACGTTTCAACATTGCTGGTTGGCGTCTGAGGGCCTATTGATATGTGGGGGTTTTGGCCAATACCGAAAAAAGAATAACTCTCGGATCACTCTACTGAAGCAAGTCTATTTTGGAACTGAAGATGAGTCTGACGAAGCACAAGAGTCTGACGAGGAGATTTTTCATAACCGCGTTGGATCAAATTTGTCTCCCAAAAAATTTCGCAGCACTCCTGAGAAAGAGAGCTGCGACTCCAAATATTGTGCCACGAACGGCTCAGCGGCTATGAGGAAATTGATCTCCAACGAACCTCTACTTTTTCAAAAACCGAACATGAATTTGAATGGGGTAAAGTGTGTTTTAATATTAGAACGTGAACGAATAGCTTGGAGCTCATTATTAATGATAAATATTCACAGATAATAGCTTTAAAATTTGTGATGGTAGTTCTTCTATCCTCTTTGTGTTGACTATTTTGTGACTCGGTTCGATATGGTTTCATTGCTCATACGCTAATAAAATGCTAATACGCTCTAATCTTTGTTACCTTCAATTCTGGACATTATTTGATTACAATTGGTTCAAATTCTCTCGTGTATTATCTTAATATAAGCTTCATGTTCTTTCAGGGCCATTCTTTCAAGTCGTCGGAGGATGTCATCTTCAAGACCAGCAATTTTTGTGGAACAAATTTCGAGATTACTAGCGAGGTCTTCTTTACAGTTGGCCATCATCTCCTGACCATCAATGGACGTCACCTCCAAATGTCAGTATGCAGGCCTTCTATTGTCATCATCTGACCATCACCGGTCGCCACCTATTAAGAGTTTGCTCGGCCTCCTATTCAAATCTGCCTCATCTAAACTCACGACGAAACTAGTTCAAGACGTCACAGACAGAGCCGTCCCCGACATCACACACCGCGTTATCCCCGGTATAAAACCAACACACGAAACTCTTCTAGTTCAGACACAGTACCAAGCTACCTTGCAACACATATCAACTCACGGCCTATCGATAACTCAAAATCAACAACTCATGACTCTGCGTACACAACTACAAACCGCTTACCAACGTCTCCAAACAACAGCATGGCAGAAACTTGTCACCACACTCGGGCTCCAGTAAGACCCTAAACAAGTCTGGAGGTCAGTTAAGCGGATGCATGGCCCAAATACAAAACAGTGAGCCCCTTACCTCAAGCACGAAAACACTCAACTAGACATTCCCCAAAAGGAAGAACCCATATTTAGACAGCACTGGCAAAACGTATTCACTGAAACCGACAACAACAATTCCAACACTGAACACATCAATACCATTGAAGAACACATGAACAACATCAGACAACACAAAACGCCATACCACACAGGTAACCTCTCAATCTCCACCATTCATTCACATGAACACTGATTGATTTAGTCGCAGACAGAACAGCATCTATTAAGGCCCGATTACACTAGGGGCAACACACGGGCGTCAAGCGCCTCACCGCCCCTCTGTGCAGCGTCTACGTGCGCTTCTTGTGGGCAACGAAGCGATTGACGAGCTAGCGATCTGCAGTCGTCCTGCCTCATGCAACACAAGCGCTACACTCAGTAGACGGCTGTCCGTGGTCTAATGAGGTCTGTATACGCTGTTCCTTCACTAAGTCAACTAACGCCACACTTGTTTGTACTCTCTCTCAAGAGGCTAATTGATCTTTATCGAGACCATGAATGCCTGTAGAGAGTTCAGTCAAAGGAGTATTAAAGTCGAAATGCAAAAGAGCAAGCGCTGGTGAAAATAGTTGAAGTTTTAAGAAACTTTGGTTCACGAGCCACCATTGACAAGGTTCACAAGAAAATTCATACGTTGCGTTCGCAATTCCATCGTGAAATGAATTTCATTGCTAATGAATTCCATCGCATATGAATTCCATCACAATTCCATAACCCTGCTTCTGGATGAGTGGCAGTATTTTCTTTAGCAGAATCAAACAAGTCCACTGGCAGTCTAGTATAATTTTGAAATTCTGATGCTTTCGCAACTGAAAATTCTTTGAAATGTAATTGTGTGAGCCCCCTCTCTTCTTTGCAACAATTTTTTCACCCAAATACGGCGACGCCTACATCTTTTCTTAACAGCAGCACACTCGAGAACAATGGCCCAGAGCTCAAATTCGGATACATCCATCCTCTCTGACGTTTAACTGGCAACTAATCTTCAAAGCGCGCTGTCTCTTACTCTCAAGCTACTGCGTACAAAAATAAGTTTGAACGGTTGTGGGCGGTGAGGCGCTGCAACAACCGCCTCACCGCCCATGTCGTTGCCCCTAGTGTAAACGGGCCTTTAGGATGGATACCTGCATGGGCCCCTCTTTTGCATTGCAGACTAGGGGTTCCCTACGGTGTTTGCATCTCACCCACGTTATACAGCTTAAACTTCCAGAATACCAAACACCGACTACATTGCCTTTGCAGACGACATCACTCAAATCATAGCTGGAAGATACACACATCGATACGCAGCCCACCAATCAAAACACGCTATACAATGAATCAACTCATTTGAACAGAAGTGTAAAATAGAGACCAGCACAACCAAATTCAAAATAATCCTTATCAGCCGTGAGAACACTTCTGACATCTTTATGGAAGATCAGAATTTCCCTTACGCACATAAAGGCACAGTTCTGGGCCTACAAACAACTCACGGCTACAACGAACATATCCCTTCACGACAGGACATAGCAAGAAACAATCTACAAAAATTTCACAGATTCGTCTATATTTAGCCTTTGTCCGGTCATCACTAATCTACTTTATCATACTGTCACACACTCTATTCCGATCGGCGATATCAAAACTCCCAAAGAGTACAAAACCGAGCCAATGGTACGATTTCATCACCTCCAATTCTCTCCACGAACGATGTAATATACCCACGATCAACACAGTTCTACACTAACACGCCCGCAACATCTGGCGCAAAATGAAAGTATATGAACCCAAACTTTTCAACCAACTCACCTTTACACCAGACATCATTTATAGAGAACATCAACAGGTCAAGGGTTCCAGGATGCTAGCATTGGATCCAACACAAACCCACATCTACAAATAGTCACGCATCAAATAACCTTCATCATCCACACAATGGGGCATCTTCACCTGAGTGCTCTTTCCTGGGCTTCTGAGGGCTGGGGTCCGAACAATCTCTCACGCATACCCAAACGGACGAACCACCTTCACGACGAGACATGCTGCGCTTGGACGGCAGTTGTAACGATCGCGTCCTAGTGCGGCTGTCCCGAAACTACTACTGACTGACGTAACAGACCGAGAACGACACACAGCATGACAAGTCACTGGACCAACTCAAGCTAACTACAAACATCCACCGTATCCCGAGCGCTCCACCACCCATCATCACTATCTAAATAGTTATCATCAACGAAGCAAGTAAAAAACAAGGAACCATATGGTAATGACAACATGAGTTCGAAACTCAAACATAGTGTGCACCTATTACTTTATTCTTCATTGTAAATAGCACCTCGAATGCATCTTCAGTATATATCGAGCCACAATCTACCCCACAATACTCCGCACAACTAATCAAAGCCCTGACGGGTCCCTCCCAAACCCTAATCAAGCCCCTAAAAACCTACAACCAACCCAATTATGCGCTATGCGCCTTTCCGTCTTCAACTATTTTTTTTCATTTCTCCTGCCTCCATCTGGCCACCCTACGCCACCTCTCGCTCTCTTCCACTCTTTCCTAGTGGCACCGCACACTCACGGTGCATGAATTCAGTCCTTCTAACAGTCGAAATTTCCGTCATTCGAATTTTATGCCTTTTATATCTGACATTTAATCTGATGAATTAATTTAAGCAAAATTAAAAGCATTAGCTTCACCGAGGGTTGTTTTAAGTAAAACTTGGTAATCTTTCTTCCCAAAATCTTGATTATGCTTCGTTGTTTCGTTTTCAAATCAATATTTCCGTAACCTTGGGCTGTTTGATGGATCATGTGATTTAATTCAGGAATGCTCGTCACATTACAAGAATCTCTGATGAGCATAAAACTCAAATACATCGGGCTTCATAAGGCTTATCAATTAGGTTTAATTTATCCTTAGGATAATCGCTTAGGTTTAATTGCTTAGGTTTAATTTGTCCTTCAATCATTGTGGTATTTCTACCCAAATCATGTTATTTTTATTTAAGCTTGAGTTTAATGGGCTTGGTAGGATAAGGAAATGCTCTTGCTCTTGCACTCCCGTAAAGTTTCCCCTATTTGAAGTATTAGTAGATCTCGCAATGAGAAGTTAAGGATGGGTTCAAACCGTACTGCGCCGTGCACATGCCAGTCACAGTCCAGGTGCCATACTTTCAAAACTCGCTAAGTGAACGTAAGTATTTACGCTCTATTTTCTTGTCTATGATTGGTGGATTTTGCTTGAAAGGCCGTCAATGATTGGCTGATGAACTTACGATCTCATAACTTTTTTGAAAGTATAGGCCCAGTTTAATATCTGTAATGCATTTCCATGGAAGCATTCTTACCATGGGAATGGCAGATGCCTTGCACGACTGGTGTGAATGCTTCTATATAAATGCATTAAAGAATATTGAGCTGGGCCGTGACTGGTATAAGCCGGGCACGTTCTCGTCAGCATGGTGTAAACCCGGCATAACATTGCAGAAAATGTCCGCACAAAAATGACTGGATTACCTTGACACTTCACGCGGGCGTGGAGTATGATAGAACAGAGTTCAAATTCGAAGCCGCCATTCCCTATGGTTCCGGTGTCTACTTGATTGGTGAGGAACAAAATCAAACTTCATTTAAGTGTTGCAAAAAAATTGTAGATTTGTTACTGACTTAACGTTGATAAACGTGCCAGCTCTGAAACGAACGATAATTTTTATTTGATTCGTATAGTTTTTACTAGGTTTAGTAATAGTTTCTCTTTTCAGGAATCTTTCAGCAATTTTATTTTTAAATTGAGGTGTATCAACATACCAGTGTGTACAAATTACCATTACTCCAGCCTTTCTGATGGTTATACAATGTATAGCAATCGTCACATTCTTGCAATCATCAATATTTATTATGATATCAATCCGTCGTTCACTGAACACCGGCTCCGCAATTGACTTATATCATTGACATTGATCAGACATGAGGCATGGAGTGTTCTTCATGCCGCTGCACACGTGGAAGTCTGTTGAACAAAACGATTCGGACTACTCCAAGAACCTCGTTGCTCGGATCTTCCTGTACGGAACATTCAACTGCCAGCTCTTTCAAGTGTGTCGTGTCAGAAACAAGCTCTTCTGTGTCGGTATGCGTACGGCCAGCGCTGAGGTTAGTATCCAGAATGCAGAGTGACTTAAACTATCTTACATTGTTGTTATTGTAATATAGAATTATAAAATGCGAGAGAAGAGTCGGTAAGCTCATAATCGTAATACATGTATTGCTAGATCTCGATCATCTTTCATGATAGGATTCTTAAGAAACACAATATTTTCAGTTTTTTTACTGTACATTCTCTTATCGATGCAGATTTTCCCATGGATTAGCCCACAATCAAAATGGAACTCTACTCAAGTTGAAGTTCTGCCTCTGGCCTACATGCCTCTGAAGGTCATACCGATGACGGACAGCGTCGCTAGTCCAGACACGACGCCATCTAATGCGACAGGTCAGCAAAGTTTCTCCCTTTGTTTTTCTTTATTCAAATTTTGTGAAATAAATGTAATATTACATTTACACCAAGCTAATTCTCTCTCGTGAATTTTGTAACGAGGTTTTTAATTTAGCTAATTTTTCCTTACGCGACTAGAATTAATCCTGATGTGTAAAAATTAGTTTAAGGTGTTTTGCTGATTTATTTATCTTTACCTCTCGTCTTAAGTGTGTGCTTAATGACGCTTTCGCTGGAGAGCTAGAATATACCACATTTAATATTTTTTCCGGCATCTGTCCAAGGGACTTGCTATCAGCTGATATTACTTTGCACTTTTCAGTGTATGTTAAAGGCAATAGGTAATTATATAATTATAAAGGCAATAATATTATAATTATATCTTAATTATATCTTGTTCGTGGACGGATTACACACTGATAGGCAGCCGTTACTATCCCATCACGGAAAAGGCGTGAGTCAACCATTTAGTTGTTAATAGGAGGATTATCTTGACATTTAACCTGTACAGAACAATGGCGCATCATATTCAAGGTAGCCTGCTACCTAGTGGCAAGAGTTAGAAATTCCTGCCCTCAATTAGGACGTAGCTACTACTGAGGAAAGGCGAGAGGCGCCGACGTAGGCAACACATTTAATTCCTAAATATGCCCTGGAGCCAACGACCAGCATGTAGTAATTACACTCGCCTTTGGAGCTAGAAGCCACGGATGACGCTGGAACACCGAAAGCTAGACCAAAGACGCTGTTTAAATATAATAGCACCGTAGGTCTTCAGCCAATACTTTAGAATGCTCGCTCATAGGCTGACAGTTCTGCTCAAGACTGCTCCGGCTTAACCTCTTCTGGCCTAACCTAAACCTATTTTCGTTGCCTCGACTAACAACCGGCTTCAGCGGTGGCTAAGGCTTTGGACATCGGCACTATAGCTAATGGCAATCGTCTTTTAGGCTACTATGCCCTCTGGACTGCTTGCCTAATGAAAATAACATGAACTGAAGTGCTAGAAAATTAGATGATCCAAGTTGGCTTTCCGCATGCATCCAAAGCAAAGTATTCACATTTTCTAGTTAGAGTCACGTTTAAAGAAATCCGCTCGCTTATAACTAAAACGCACAACGTTCAAAGCGCGTACAAATAGTTGGCTTGCTGCTATGTCAGTTAGTATTCTTTTATATGATTATGATGTGGTATGTTCTAACATACAGTACCTTTGTTCCTCTACAAATTTGGTCTATTTATTTTTGTTCTAATCGAATTTATTCTCAAGTGTGTTGTTCCAGCTCTATCATCAGAAACAAGTTAGGAGGAACTCAAATTGAGCCCGTAGGTTAATCATGAATTTTCATAACTTACAAGCAATTTTACATGATAAGAGATTAATTAACAACTTATTCAAACTCCTCAATTTTCTTTGCATCAATTGCTCTACTCCGACTGGTGTTACCGACCCCGACTTGCGATATCTAGTCTAATCAATTGCGCTTGTCTTATTTTTTTTTCTTTTCAACTCTAGAGTCTTCACCTGAGTCTCTCGTCAACCTCCTTGCGAAGACTGTGGAAGAAACCGCGGGCAGCAAGGAGATCAGTTCCGATGTGCCAAAAAATGAGGATTTTTTCATGTCGAATGTGATGCCAAGTGCTGAAATCGTCCGCAGAGTTGCTGCCTCGCAACATCGTCTGCTCGATCGCGTTCTGCTAGCGCCACTGTTGGACTTTAGGCAAAAAGCTAACGGCGAGTCCGAGGGGCTCTCGGATGCCGGTAGAGCAGCGCTGCATCTACTCGACGATATGCATACCAACTTGTATGCTAACTGGGCTTTCCCTGCCACAGATGTGCCTAACACTCCCGAGACGAGTTTACATCGAGAGGATTGTTCATGGTGCCGAAAATTTTTCAGTCGTGACTCGTTTGACGAAAGTTTCGGATTGGTTCCTCTCAAAAGTGAAGTGATAGTATCCAGTCCTAGTGCCGATAAATGGTATTTGTTACATGGGCGTGGATTTCCTCCACATTTCGAGAACACCATTGAGCCTTTTGTTGTGCTCAAGAACCGATAACTACGTTCAATTCAGTATTAACTGTATTGAGCATAACCCACCAGAGTGTTCATAATTTTCAGCTATAGATGGTGTAATAATTCTACATAGTAATGGAGCTGGCGAACTGAAAGCGGTTTTATCAATATTTAATTTAACTTTATTTGTCTCGTTTCAATTTTCGGTGGATGATGGTGCCGATAGCATGATTTCGAGTGCTTGCGATGCTACAAAACACCCTGAAGTTTATAGAAGCTCATATCAACTCGGATATCTGGTTGGAGCACGGAGAGAGGAGTATAACAAATGGTGGACATGTTAAGACATATCATTTAGAGATTTATATATCCCTGCTGGATATAAATCTCAAAAAATAGCTATTACCCTGCGTATTCAACATAGCCAGTCCATTATTCGAGTCTTGTTTTTACTCGAAATCCTATCGTGCACCATCTTCGTAAAGGTACTACTATATCTTTACGACGCTGTTTTAGCTGTGTCGACACTTGCACGTCCAAAAGAGGTGTTAATCTCCAATGTCAAAGATATTTATTGTACCGCCAATTTGGCGGAACCCGATGATCTGGAGGTCGTCATGAAGAATATACTACAGGACACGCTACCAAAGCCGTCTAAGATCTGTGTTAGGGCACCTAAAAATGCTGCACACTAGTGTTGAAGCTCAATAGGTAAATATAATAATTTTTTTAAACTTCTAACTAGGAATAACTTAGATTTATACAGTTCATAAACTTTAATGTCTTCGTTTTCTTTCAACCCTACTTCAATTTTGTTATAAATGTATAAAATAATCATTTACAATAAGTAGTATATTTGTACAAGGATAAAGTTCAGTGCAAGGATCCTAGTTTCGTTCAGAACTCACGAGACAGACTACGTACGCACAATTTTTGTTGGTCGAGCGGATTACCTTACAAGGAACAATTTTAATTGCTTAAAACCGGTTGAAGCGGGATTGTACTAAGATTACTTGCGTCCAGAAACATTAAAGTTGTACATCAAGATCAAAAATTATCCAATATGAATAAATGGGACCCGATCCTTAATTCAATTGAAGGCCCTGCTATAGCGGCCGAACAGTTGGCAAACGTTGACCTCTCCCTTAGGCAATCGCATACTTGCAGGAGTGACTGTAATTCACTCTTGAGCAGTTCTCGAGCATTCCAAGTTCACAACGTGACTGGCTACCTTACTTATCAATTGTTTTGAAAATGATAGAATAGAAGTGTCGGCACTGAAGAAATAGACANTACTCGTAGCGTCTACGATGCTATCAGGGAGGAGGCTGTTCTACATGTCGGTGACACGAAGCGAGAAGAAATGTTGTCGCATGGATGTGTTACAACGCTGTTTTTTTAGTTTATAGCCGTGGCCCCCTGGTGTTGGTTCTTGTTTCAAATTCTAGTAATCCTTCTGGGGCCTTGTACAAGCCATGAGTATACTTGTATGCTTCAATGAGTTCCCCACGCAGACGTGTAAACGGTGTAATACCATATGTAAGGAAAGTAAGTTGAATATTTCCTTGTTGTTGTACATCTTTATACTCAAATATACCACATAATTTGTGTGGCCGAAATAGTGCATGTAAATGGCATCCATAAACGAAAAATCAATTTTTATAGGTCAAGGCTTAATTGAAACTTAAAGATTGTCGTTCCGCCGTCATCATTTAAAATCCGGTAAATCAGCACTGAACGGCAAAAAAAATCACTACTTGGTTCATAGTATACCAAGTTGAATGAAAGCAAAAATTAATTCCTCGCACGGACGCCCAAATCTTCTCAAATGACGTAACCTCTAGACGCGCCACGTTCACCGATTCCTCCGAGCCTTCGCAAGATTCCAGCCAGTATATTTTAGAATTCGACAATTTCGCTAACACAGCGCGGCGCAGATGTTTAAATCGCCGGAATCTAGCTCACGAAGAAAACTAAATCCATGTTTCCTAAGAATGTTCGGCTCATTGTTGAACAAATAGTCAAGTTAATTATTTCATCCATGATTCGGCTGGCGTTAACTTCCCTTATACATACACCCCTGCTACCCTCCAACACTATTCGCACGCAAATATGATATTTATCATCATCGAACTTGCACGGGCTAGTTAGGTTAGTCGAGAAATTCTCATCGGTAAACTCAATCCAAATTAATCAGCAGTAATTTAACGAGAATTTCATCTATCCTATGAACGGCAACTGTTACTACAGGTGGGCTAAGGGCGTTGCTACGTTGAAACGTAGACGTTCATTCATTACATTGATAACTTTCAAACCCACACGTGCACGCGCATCTGCCGATAGAAAAAATATTCTACTAGACGATGATTTACTGGCAGCAGTTGAACTGTTATGGTTATGTACCTGACAACGAAGTTTTCTGTTGAGGTTCAATAAATTCTCTGTAATCTCCGTGTAGATTTCCAGGTAATCGTCGGCTATATGCCTATGACCTTTTCGATATGGTAGATTTAGGGTCTCTGAAGTAAATGGATCTTCAATTACGTCAATATTTTCAAATTAAGGTCAACAATGTTATAGAAATTTGAACAACATTTTTATTAACTTATCTTCAACAATGTAAATTTTTTAACATAATTTCAAACTCATTATTTCCACTAGCCTCACAACTAAATTAAATTCCGTTTATTAAGAACATGTATTAAGAATTGGCTTGGAAGACCTTTTATGTCCAAAACGAATCATGGTTCGCTTCTCCCCACGCTTACCAACAGCTCTAACTTCATATCTGCGGTTTAGAAATGCGTTTTATTTTGCAATGGTGATTTAAACTAATAAATTATGGGATTTGTGGAGTAACATTTCATTTTCAGTTGTTGAGCGCAATTTAAAGACGCGTCAGTACGTCGCTCCCGCGTCATTCTAATTGGTCCAATGGTCACCAATGGTCACGACTGAGTTGGACGGCATAGCGGTTTACCCCACTTTGGTCCAGACGATTTCCAGGATGCTTCGGATGCCGGGAGTTATGCGTCGATTGCGTATCACGGCGTGGCGATTTGGAACCTTTATGAGTATTTTCGTCAACCAGAAACCGCCTGTGTTGAGCCGCAGATCCTGTGTTTCAATCAACCAATTCTCGAGTACCAGCAAATTTTTGCCGTATTCCTCTATTATCAGAGATTTGCACACAAACGACAAGTCACCCAATCTCATTTCTTCATTTTTTCCTAATATATTGGCTAGGTTTTGTGAATTCCAATCGATGAAAAGATGTTCGGATTGATCACTGTACAAAATCACGGGTTTCACATCCAACAAAGGTATTGGAATAACCGAAGGCTGAGGCTCCGGAAGATAGTGATGTGCATACATCACGAGGTCGGATTTCACGACAATCCTCTGGCGTGGGAGAATGTCGGCGAAATACATGGGGAATGGTAGGTAGGTTACTTCCGTAGGAAACATATCTGGCGAATAGAGTTAATCGTCTTTTCAAATTTAGTCCGTTTGGGAACTGTAGTGATCTCCAAGATGATGGCACTTTATTTTTTAGTGGCTAGATTTTGGGGAGCCTGAAAATTACAATATTGACGTAAACCCACCAGACCACCACGAATACTTTCATCTACACATGCTTGTTAGCCTATTTACACGTGACACGTCATAAAAGTTGCTATCATTCACAACATTGGACTTGCAATAGACATGAGATTTAATGCACCTAACGGGAAGGCTAAGGGTCCGGCGCGAGAAGTGTACGTCCAGATAGAAATTATTCTTTGCTCTGTGTAGGCACTCGATTGACTATGCAAACTTCGTTTACACAAACAAAAACCGAAAGATACAATTTAGTAGAAAACAAGGTATATAAATTGGAGATTAATTAAAAACGTTAACTAGTGAACTAGTTATTCTATCCTTATCAAGACCGAAAAAACCAGCCGATTAATAATTTTCCTGAAATGGTTAATTTCTCGCTTTAAGACGAATTGATCAGTACTGTCGATTGATAATTGATCATAAACAAGTTGAACTTCCATCACACTTATTATGGAATTAGGAAGTGGGAAGCTTGTTTCAAATTCCACTTATACAAACGTCGAGTTTAATAAGGTTTCGTGTTCACATTAATGTTGGTCAAGAAAGTGATAGCTTGTAGCCTTGTACGCGCAGCGCTAGAGCTTAACTAGCGGCGCAACGTAGAAACCTTGGCATCCTAACTAGTAACAACTACCTCTGACGTCGAAGTGACGTCATAAATAGCGATGGGGCGTAATAGCGCGACTAAATTCTAAAAACACGATAATCCATTCTACTTATTTGTTGCCAACAGTGATAAACTACAGCTAACCGAACTGTATTAAGCAGGGGGGTAACTTAATACGTGAACTGATTTTACAGCATTCATTCCAAACATACGTGTCGCAGAAATACATGTAGGTACACTCGGACTTGAATATTATAGGTCTGCACATTTCTATTTAAATTTGATTATATTATTCATTGCAATATAAAATCCCGTGTAATTCCCAAATACAATCACAATAAGCACCGCACCACATTACCGAAAAGATAAGAAAATATTAAAGATCCCCTGCGCTGACATCTTTGCAAACAAGACCGCAGGAAGTTCGACACCGGAGTGATGATCGCGGAGCAAGCGAGAGCGGGAAGATGAAACGTACAAGTTCATCACTGTTGAGAGACAATCTAGTCCATAGAAAGCATTTTCACGTGGATCCCTTTTTACTGGAAAAATAAGATAGCAGGAGAAAATGCGAAGCGAAAATATATTGTAATAAAGAAATGAGTTAGTTAGACGCAAATTTTTAACTATTATGTGCCTGAAATGAATTTGAATTCACGAAGCAGCAATTTTGTCCCTAGGAGATCGTGAATTCACAAATGAATATTCAATGTGCCTTTGTGTTAGGAAATAGGATCAGATGGAACTCTGGCAGGTAAACATGACGTATAATCGCCGTCTTCGCTCTAAGGAAATGGCGCAAAAAACAGAGTGCGCAAACCGCCTTCGCTCCACTGCGTCTTCTCTATGCGCAACCTGTGGCACTGAGATGACGCAGGACGAGTGTTGTGGCGTTCATGAACAAAATATCAGACAAGCGTCTTCAACCTGACGCTAGGAAAAAACATTCACTTTAAGTATTGTTACTACCACATCCTTAAGCGTGTAGGAGTTTGTCGATGTCTCTCTTTATTTAATGATGAGAAATGAAGCGGAAGGCTCGTACATGAACGGATCCAGTTGCATCACTGCGGACGCCAGACCGCTTTGCGCTGACCGCTTCTGCCGTTTCAGTGCGATGCAAGACGTGGTTAGGAGAGGGTGTGACAAAAATGTGCTCACGTCTTGTCAACTGTGATCTCGGTCTCGTATGTTTGCTACGTGCTAACGTCACTTATTGATAGAACAAATATTGTAGGATGTAAACAAGTGTTGATATAAGGCCATCAATGTTTCTAACTGTTGAGTCTATTCTTGAAATGAATAGTGATTTTATGTTAGTTCTAATTAAAAAACTTGGAATTTAAAAGCCATTTCAGCAACTTACGTGACGCTGAGTACTGCAGAAGGTAATTATGACGCACTGCAGTAGTTGCTTCATTTGCTCTCAAATTTAACTAAGGGTATTCCTAATATCTGTCAGGATGAAAACCTAATTATATTATTCACGAGTGCCTTGAGTATTTACTGAACTTCTTATTTTTCAAGTTACTAAACTTTCTTAAGCAATATTTTCTACGTTAACACTTTTTCATAA